GTGTGTGTGTGTTCGTGTCGGCGGGAGAGATTGTTGTCGCGGTGGAGGCGCCCCCCACCTGTTAGCCAGGCATGCTCGGCCACTTCGGTCTGCGCTGATGAACGCCTCGAGGCACAACACACAGCACGTAACGCACAAGAGTTATTCCCCGCTGCTGCTTTTTGTCGGATTGGTGTTTAAACCCATAATGACCGCTGCCCGGTCACACCCACACCACCGTGTGTGTCGGTGCACGACTGTAGGATTCAAATTGTGCCGGCGCCCTCTCTTTTGAACTATTTCTCCCCCGACACCCTATTGCGATACGTTGTTCTCAATCATTTATCTGAACTTATTTCTTATTTTCTGAAGGAAAAATAAAAATAAAAAAATGCCAGAAATGCTCCCTCCCCGGAACCGCCGCTATGCCGCGGTGCACCTGTGCGGTGGGTGAAAAAGGGTATATCGGTGGGCGGACAAGTCAGTAGCATCGACGGGCCACTTACCGCGGTAGGCCGCGCCGCACCAGCGCCGCACCAGGCCATGCCTCGCCCAATAAGGCCAACGCGATGCCGCAACGGAAATTAGCGTCAGGCCCGTTCAGTAGGGGGTTGTTCCTGCGTGACATGCGGTAGTGCCAAGAAGTCCAGAATAAAGTGGCGCGCCCGCCAGTCTCGCTCACGCGCAGCGAAGAATGTTTAATATCGCCTCCCTTCTCTCTCTCTCTCTATCGCTTATACACTTCGATCGTCGATTCTCTCCCTCGGCGTCGTCTTTCATTTTTACCGCCGTTTCGTTTCAGGAAAGCAACGAGGGGAATATATCGACATCGACGCTGACCTTCACGCCGACGCAGCGGGACAACAACACGGCGCTGATGTGCCGCGCGGAGAACACCAACCTGTCCAACTCGGTGCAGGAGGACGAGATCAAGCTCAACGTCTACTGTAAGCATGCCGTCCAATTAATTTAAAAAGCCGGCTGCGATTCGACTTGCACTATTTTTATTTTTAAAACCACATGAGTTCATGTAGAAGTTAAAGAATTTGTGTGAGTAATGGGCTTGCTTATTTAATTTTTTTTTTTTTTTCAAAGAAAATATGCAACCACGATTTTAACAGAGCTTTGCAGTTTGAATCATACTCCGGAGCATCCACACGGTTGCGCGGCCGTGTGCACACATCTCGGTAAAACGGCCTACTAGGATTCCTGGGAACGCGATCAGTGTGGATTTGCACCCCAAGGGTTGTAAAAGTCACGCTGCACTGAACGCGTTTACACGTTACCTGAAAACGGTGAAAAACTGACTGAGCACTCGCCAGCCGCACTTGGAAACCTATGGCGGGCGTTTTCACCGCATGTTTACCGGCGTGTCGTCCGCCGGGTATCAAAGGGCCGTGTGGCCGGGACGTATTGGCTGCGCCCCATGGGCCTCCCCATGGGCCTCCCCATGG